GGCCACGCGCGGGGCCGGCCGGCTTAGCGGCCGCTGCAAGTGCGGGGCCACGCGGGTCCGTTTCCTTCACCTACTGCACGTGTCACGGGAGCTGTGGGAGCCACCCGGCTTTGCCCTCCTCTGCTGCTGCACCAGGCGCCTGCTGCTCTCTGCCAGAAAAAGACGCATTTCGGACAGGCTACTTATGTAAAGCATGTAGGCAAGCAAAATACCAAAGTCTCTCCTGGTAGACTTTAGCAGTAAACTACAAAGACTTTAATAGATGTCCTCCCTTTTTAAAAATTTGTTTCTTTAAGAATAAAGAAACATTGCCACAACTAGGTACCGCTTCTCTGATGTATTTACCATCCAAGGATCCAATCAGCAGCCATGCTTATGCTTATGCTTCTGAAGACCGTGACTTTCCTCTTCTTTCACCCCTAAAATGCAGTGCCTGTTTGTGCACTGGCTAAGAGAGGCATGCCCGGTCTCAGCAGATACACACACATCAACACTTTCTTTTAGACTGAGATACTACAGTTGTGCCACAGGAAACAACCCAATTCAGCGTGGTACAAAAACCAATAACCATTTGGTTTGTACCAGCAGGGCTTACAAATGAGATCTGCTCAAAATGTAACTGGATCAAATCAAATAATTATCACTTTTCTCTTCCCTAATTAAAATCAATAGTCCTTCTACCCTAGCTCAGTGATCCTCTCCGCTAAAGAAATGTGCTGGAGGACAAGAAACCTCTTAATTGTGATCTATAGCACTTCCACTCAGCTGGGCAAGGATCCGCTCACATGGAAGAGAGAGGAAATAAATGGAAATCAGCAACACTTAAGTTTCCCACTCACGAATCACACTTGAACATTAACACAGTAGGTTCATATTCTGCATCATTCTTCCTATATCTAAACTACATGGGAAAACATTGTACTACACTACACCCAGTCACAAAAAACATATCGGCTTCTTTTAAACCTAGAAGAGACTGCTGAAAATCCTCAAGGTGCAGCCGTTCAAGCACCTGCTTATTTCTTTCACTACTGCCAGCATAAATCCACTAGTCTAGACTGGCTACCAGGTTTAATCATTCTGTCTGCTAACTTTCAGGATAACTTTGAGCAAATCAATTCCTCTCGTTCTGCTCCAATTGCTCATCTGTAAAGCGTCACCACATGATAGTTACTTTCCCAGTTCTCATCCATGGTTTCAGTGCTACTTTCAGTCTTACTTCCTGGTATCAAAAAAGAAATCATAATAAAAGAAAATGCCACCCATTCTGCAAGCAACATCGTAAAGGTTTTACTTAACCTTCTACCGACATTTCCAGACAATTATTTCCCTCCAGGGAAGTCCTCCTTTGTATTGACTCCTGTGCAGGGATTCCAACATCAATTACCTCAGCACTCATCAAAACCAGCAGCGGCCTCTGGAAGTGCAGCGTTCAGAGCAGATGAAAGAAAGCGAGCGTTCTGGTCTGCATTTAGGTACAGGCTGAGTTTTGCTTTGAGACAATCTTTTGAATCCTCCCATCACAAATTTTGCTTCTTGTTTTGGTAGTGAGGAAGATACCCCAGAAAACACAGTTATTCAAGTACCTGAGTTACAGTCAACTCTCATTTTCCCCTACAGAGATTAATCATTTTGCTGTGACATTCTGTCTAAAGCAATTCTCTTCCTAAAATTTATCTCAAATATGAAGAGTCTAATTTTCTAAATATTTGTTGTATCTGCAGTTTGGCTTTACCCAGGTTACCCCACCTTACTGTACGTATCAGGACTACCTTTCAGCAAACGGTAAATATCGTATCACGTAGTTTCTGAAATACACTGCATATGGACAGAAATTACCCGGTAATATGCTACAATAGTTTTATAATAGTTGTTAGTTAAATAAAATCATCTGAATTAAATTGACATTGATGGTAAACACCACTGTTTAACACCTCTAGAAACAGGGCTTATCAACCTTTCAGCTTCCTAGGCTGTAACTCCGAGAGTAAAAAAAAAAATTTATTGCATTTTCATCTTCCACATTGTTTCTCAGCTTAGAATGAAATAATCAGTGACTGAACTAGCTGAAGAAACTAAATAGTTGCATCTACACTACAAATTGAAAAAAAGCCTGGCGAAAAGCTAGGCTGGCAATTCAATAGTGCTAGTTTCAGTTGTTAAATGAAGAATTTCTACCAGTTCAGCATCTCATTCTCTAAAATTCTGGTAGCAAACAAGCAGGTTTTTTGTTTTTTTAAATATATTTAGAACAGATGACCTTTGATTATGAAATTTAAATAGGTTTAAATATACTTTTCCCTCAATAAAAATATTTTTATTCAAAAAATTTTAAATTATTTTAAGAAGTTACAGTGAAAAGCCCCAGCTGATTGTTATCCATCCTGTGCGGTGTCCTTTTGATCACTGAGCTCTGACCCTTACAGAGACAGCTGTGCAACTTCAGTGGGAGCCTGGAAGTCGGCTCTTCACAGCCGATAACTCAACTATTGTCTCTAGCATGTTTGCAGTGCTATTGCTTCTCTAGACTATTGTGTTGCCTTCCTGTTCCTCTAGAACCAATTATTAAACTGAACCAATATATTTATGCAAATTATAATCCAACATAGCCATCCAGTGACAGTGTTAATATTCAAGTCATACTAATTAAAATTACAGCTCAGTTTTGTTTTGCACAGTGAAATCTCAACAAAATCATGTCTACGCTCTATTCCAGTTTTATGTAAAGACCACTGGATTTTTTTTTCCAAAAGTCAGTAACCTAAATAAGCACCTTTTTTATTTAGGCTGCTAAAATGACACCTAACTGTTTTGGGGTTTGGGGTTTTTTTGTTTGTTTGTTTTTTTGTTTTTTAAAAAGGAGCTCTAGCTGCTATGTTTCTAACATGAGGCAAATGCCATTTAATTTTAGTGTAAGGGGACAGTTCAAACTCCACTTTATGGTGAAAATGAAAATGGCATCTGTCTCATAATCCATGTTTATACACATTTAAAAAAAACTCGCAAGGAAATTCAGCTGAACAGATTAATGCAGCTTCACATGATGGTCTGCGCTAAAGAAAAAATGAGAATTAGAGAATTAGAAGTGTTTAAAAAATGTACACGATTGTAAATGTCTTAGTCTTCCTTTATTTTCACATCAGACTTGTAAGAGTTTCAAACAGCAGAGATCTTATAATAAAAATGAGCCACATCCCATTTCAGAACTATATCAGCACCCATTGTTGTGTTAGGAATGGACCTTTTGTTCTTCCGCTTTCTTCAGAACTGAAATGTACTACTCAAACTTTAGATTTATTGATCCATCACTAAGTTGCAAGTTCAGATTGCAATTCTGCTAAGAGTCACCACAGCACCATACTTCAACATTAAGAGTTATAAGTTTTATTTTTAACTGTAAGTGATAATTCTACAAAAAAGACAGACAAATACTACACATTTTAAGAGGAGGACATCCAACAGCCTAATGCAGCATTCCACTGTGAGAAGTATCCTTCCTTTACAGGATAAAATAAGGCATAAGTAATTTGTCATTCAAGAGTAAGTTAATAATTATCTTCCTTTTATTAGGTCAAACACAAAAAGTACAACATGGCACACCATAAACAAAGCAGATGATCTGTGCTTACTCAGTGGATTTTCAAAAAACACATAAGCAAGGTGGAAGTTCAATTCCATGAAAAACTAAATGATTAAGGCAACCATACTCCATCTAATTAAAAAAAAAAAGCTATGAATTTTCTGATCTACCTATGGCTACTGAAAACATTTTTTCCTGCTTTAAACAAAAAAAAAAAACAGATAAGATACAGCATGAGACAGTAATGTTTGTCTAACTTAAATTTTCATGGTAATGAAAAAGCACCGATTTCCCATGTACGTGTTCTGCAGGCTACTCAAACATTATTTGCTGTCTTGTCTCCAGCATATGGCTTCAGGAAATACAGGCTGGGCTTCCCAAAATTAATTTTGGACTTGTACTTTTAAGGACTTTTCCCTTGGTGGGGATTCCAAGTACTGGACAAAAATTTCTTCCAGTAGGTTGATATTCTACAATATGACCGTTGTATGTTTTCTGACCAACTAGCCCTTCTAATAGCCCCACTGATCCATCAGACCTTGCATAAGCATAGAAACTTACCTTCAGGTTACATACTTGGAAGAGCAGAGCATAGGGAACGCGCTTTTGCCGCCCCCCCCAACCCTTCACAGTTCTTTCAAATTCTTCCATTAGCTCCTGCATGTTGCCCAGACTGACAGTGCCATATGACATTATTTAAGTCACATCCTACCTAGCTCAGTGACAACTATCCCTGCCACAGATTTCCAACACTAGAAAGGCTGTGCACTGACTAAGCCCCCTGCGGCTGCAGACTTCATGGCTACCCACCTGCCCAGAGGAAAAGCAGCTCCATCAGTCGCAGCACTCCCAAGCCCCCAGCCGCTCTGAACCTGATCATCTGAATTGCACCAAATTCTGTTTTTCCCCCTCATACACCCGGAAGCATCACTACTGCTTAGAGGTGGTTGATGAGAGATTGCTACATCTTGCAATTTCTATACCATGGTGTGTCCTTATTATACATTCCTCCTACATAGTTGTTTCATCCTTGCAACACCAGTGGCACATACTATTGGCATCCTCTGAGAGGTGTTAGCATTTTTTGGCATATTTTTCAAATACCATTTTATCTCTGGGTATTCATCAGCAATAAATAGTGCTTCTTTGCATTCCATTACTGTAAGGGTCCCATGTATTCCAAATATCTACACCATTTGCTAAATTCATACAGGTAGCTCTAAATTTTCTATTTAAAAATAAGAATTTCTGGCTAGTAGGGTTAAAAAGAATACCATGTAAATACAATCAAAGCCCAAACAAGCACAAACCTGTGAATTCTTCCACATGTATCTATCTGTAAACTTGAAAGCTAATAATCAGCATCTAAACAATCAATGTTAGTAATCATTTTTTTGCAGGTACTATGAACAACACCATCCAACTACAAAAGCAAGTTATGTGATGATGAAAAAAATTAGAATTTGCAGAATTTAGCCCAAATGCACTGCTGGATGCCGCAGCAAAATAGTAGGATATGATCAACCAATGGTCTAGCAGAAGATAAATAGGAGCTCAAGTCATCCCCTCTAGATCAAAACCATTAACAAACATATCTTTCACATCACCTCTGAGCCTTTCCATGATATGCAAGAAAGCTCTGCCTGTATTGAAAGCTTCAGGATGTTTCCCAGCAGGATGTAGGGCCCCTAAAGCTTCCAAATCAGACCTCTTGCCTTGTGTTGAAAGGCTGCTCACTCCCTCGCGTCCAGCTGTCAGAACTTCCAGGTTCCCTCACAGAAACATCTGAAAATGGCAATGAAGTAATACAGAAATCCATGCCAAATATGCAAATTGCAAGCAGCTCCAAGTAAGTTATTAGAAAGAAGGAAAACCGAAATGATGGCATTTTCTTCATATTTATTTAAACAAAAAGCCCCATTAAAAAGTGCCTGAGGCTGTCACAAATTCCACTCTCAGGCACAGAATTTAAGTTTTGCTTGCTATGCTGTACACAGGCTGATGGCTTCAACTAACGCAATCACTTATGCCTCTTTGAGAAAATAGAAACTAAAATTGCTAACCAAGGCAATTTCCAAGTGTGATGATTAAAGCAGTGTATTCTAGGGTATAGTAATGCAAATACCGACTTGAAGTAGGCTAACAACACATGTTACAGCCTCAGGCAACTCAACATTCACTCATTTCTCATTGGAGAAATGCACAGTGGAAATTGGGAAAGATTTTATAAACAAAACAATTAGCAACAGGACACTTCTCTTTTTATGATAATAACATGTTGAGTCCCCAAAGAGCTGGACTGACAATTGAAGTTGCTATGAAAATGAGAAAGAAATAAAACCTGGCTATTGACAGGCCTGTCAAGGGCATAAACCAGGAACAGAGCCGAAAATCCTATATGACGTACCTAGTGCTTACATAACGAGGAACCAACAAAACCAAAATAAAGGCTATTGAGTTAGAAGACTTTAAAGTGAAGAGACTGGCAACATGGGGCCTGTCTGCATCATGACTTTGACTAGTGGATACTTTCTCAGGGTAGATCGTCTCTGTGTGCAAACTGCTGCTTTTTTAATCAGTAACATGAAAAACACTAAATTACTTTATACTTTTCTAGATATTGCTCATTAGTTTTAAAACAATGTTATTCAAACTACAGTTAAATGAATAAAATGCCTTGTGAGAAGCAACTGTCAACTATTTCAGAAACTAATCCTTTTGCTCTGCAAATTTGCATTTTTTGCCACAATTTAAGTTCGCTTGTCTTGTCCTACCTATCACAGACTTACATTTGACAACCTCCTACCTTCTTGAAATAGCCTACTATATATAGAAAAAAATATTATGCCTTCAAGTCCTCTCCTTTTCGGGCTTGCATCCTCCCCTCCTCACCCCACCTCAGATTCCTTCAGTCTTTCCTCTGAGGTCCTGGCTTCCAGACCCCAAATCATTTGATTAGTCGTCCCATGGCCTTCATCCCACTGAATTACATTTTCTTGAAGCATGTGCTCAAACTGGATACAATACTCAGCTGAGGACTTACCTGTAGATATATACTTTTATATATTTATATGTGCATGTTTATATAATTTATTATTACATATATATGTAAACCTACACCGTACATAAACAAAAATGTGTACTTATATTTATAATATACATATATTCATAATATGCATATTTATATGTGCAGAACTATTTATAGTATACATAATAAATATTATTTTATATACTTTATATTATATGAACTTATAATATATGTTCATATTTTTCTCTCTCTCTCTATATAATGCTTGCCCTTTTACAACAGCAGGATTTCTGGAGAATTGTCACCTAATTACTTGCTCCTTACCCTATATTTGTATATTTAATGATTTCTACTTAAGTGTAGAACTTCAGCTTCTCTGTATTTATTTCCTAATATTTTCCTCAAACTTTTCAAAATAATTTGGGACTTTTAAACTTGTCTTCCAATATACCTGCAGCGCCTCCAAGTTTTGGGGGCATTTTTAATCTGTCAGTTCTTTAAGCGCACTCCCTATTCTATCATCAAGGCCACTAATGAAAAACGTTGAAGTGAACTAGAATTAGTACAGACTCAACAGACCGTGGACATTCAATACATCCATTTCATTTTGACAGCCAATCGTTAATAACCACCTACTAGGCACAGTCGTCAACAAGTTTTGCACCTACTCTACAACAGTCTCTTTTAGGACAAGTTTCTTCAAATGTTTATAACAGTATCACATCAAACAGTGCCAAAGACCTCACTAACATGTTAACATTCACTGTTCTCTTGTGAATTCACAGGCTTTATTATCATGTTGCAGACAAAAATTAAACTGGAATGACAATTTATTCTTTCTAAATTCATGGTGGTTGTGAGTCATTTTCTTGTTTTCTCCCAGAGGCTTATACTTTGTGCAAGAATTTGTTCAAAACACTGAAGATAAGAGGACTGGCCTATTATTTCCTGGTTCCTTCCTCCCTACCGTTTTTCTTTTCTAGTCTTCCAGTATCTCAGGTAATTGCTAGTGGTACTGAAACAGCTTCAGTCTTTTTTTTTTTTTTTTTTAAATGTTGAAGTATTAATTTCATCAGGTGCAGCCTAAGAAATAAGTTATCTAAGTACTAAGTAGTAAGCAAACTCCTAGCTTCAGATTTGCCCTCAATCTCGTGTGTACTTTATGCTTTTTATTTTCTTCTTGCGCTAACTGCTGTTCGCTTAAATTTCTCTTCTGCTTCTGTTTTGAGGATATTTGCATAGTAGTGATTTCAAGTACATCTTACAAAATTGCCCATCAAAAAATCACATTACAGAACAACGACATGCATTTTCAGGCAGCTAGAAACACTGTGGTGGGGATACCTCACTGGGCATCAGTGCTGCAGTGCTGTTTGCAGGCTGCACAGACACCTCAGAAAATTAAAGGTTTAACAAGAAACAGGTATTTCTAAACTGAGTGGTAATTTCTAGTTCAGAAGCAATACAGAGAAGGCCGTAATAGGACAGAACCAGAACTTTGTAATCCAGACTTGCCATCCCACTAGCTAGGGCTAGACCAACCAGCGGACCTTCTGCAGCATATTAGTGCAGCTTTTATGTTAATTATAAAATCTGATTCTGTACACCCAACTAGGCTGATATAGCAAGGCTAGCTGAGTGAATGTGGGTACTTTGTCCACATGTACATATACATACAGTGAATAAGGGACTGCAAAATAAAATCTAGATAAAGCCTGACACTGATGATATTGCAGATATTGTGACTCTAGGGATGTATTGATTCTGACAGCCCCGTGCACAAAACAAGAACTTGCGGTACATTCCTACATTGTTACGTCATTACATTCACAAACGTTAATTACTTGCTGTCATGGCCCAGAATGAAACTACGTAATAAGAGAGTCTCATCATAGTACATGCGTATGTGGAAGTGGCAGCTTAAGATGTAAATGTTTGATTTGATTATCTAAAAATACCAATAAAAAGCAGGAAAAAAATTTTTAAAGACATCAGCAGCTCTAGTGCAGCCATGCTGATTTTGGCCAGATAATAGAGTAGGTACCTAAGCATTCTTAAGTGTATAGTAGGGTATTTACGGCACACCCAATTTCCTTTTCAGCGACATTACGCAATGATTGCACAAAACAGAAAACTGTTCGTTTTCTTCTGCGTTCACTAAGCAAAAATCATCTGTCCAAAATTCATCTGACACATTGTATAATGTTATGACTGTACTTTATAAATAGCAGAGAAAAATCTAATGAGTTTAACATTAAAGGGAAGAAAATGAAAATATGACCTGTGTAGACTAAGATGGTAAAGTAGTATTGACCTTTTGGGGATTCCCTGACTGTATCTACTTAATATGACAAATAGCAATGCTTTTAAAAGAAAAAATACCATTCCAGATATACCCTGCTTTGTCCATCACAGAGGAACAATGATAAAGGACTGATTTTTCCTGACTTAACAAGATAATGATCATCAGCTGACCTGCACTAACTGACTAATGCACGCCTAGTCCAATTACACTGCAAAGTAAAACATGTTAGTATAAACCTGGTGAATTAGCTATATAAATATAAGGGAAATCACAGATAATATACTAACAAAAGAAAATTTACATTGCAGCTGTTCAGTAGCTAATTTGCAGATCATCCTGTTTTTCCTGATGAAGCAAAGTAATCTACAACAACAAATATTCAGGCTTCAAACTTTTTTTTTTTTTGGCTATAGGCACTCTTAAAAAAAAGTAAGCATGCCAAAAATAAATAGAAACATTTAGACTAAAAGGTCAGTGTTTTGGAACTTGTAAGAATGTTACAAATTCATCTACTTATTGATCCTCTTACCAATATTGAATACTGACTAATCACCATTAGATAGCACTTCACTGTCCAATATCAAGTGGGCTGGAAATCAGTAAAATTTGAAACAGACGTTAATCTACTTCATTTAAAAAAAAAGTTGTCATCTAATTACTAGAGCCCTTATAACTTAATCATTTCAATTGAGAGTTCAAGAACTTAATGTGTTCAGGAATATTAACCTGGTAACTGGCATACCTTGCAGGAAGACTGTAGACATGATTTGCACTGCTGCTTCATATGTCACAATTATATCTGTGGATAAAAGAAAAATAATAATAAAAAAAAGACATTGATGCAGGATCTAACGTCATCCTTAGAGAAAAGTAAGAGCTCTTTTATATCTAGTTCATTATCTGCTACATGATTAGCTTCTGTGCTATACCCACAGCCATGCTGGAATTTAATTCAAATACACATTCACATTAACCAGTCTCTAGCAGAATTTGAATGGTTAGTACAGTCAGGAACCAGCTGTATTCACAATGCTTGTTAACACCTAATTTTAGCTGCAAGCTCAATTTCGTCTTCTGTAAGGTCAGAACCCACAACAAGAAATGGTTACTGCTGATTAATCTATGTCCAGAGAAAGACTGAAATATGCAGTAGAGCTACTAAATTAGATGTAATTTCCATCATTTGTATATGGATAAGCACAGAGGCAACATGTGCAAGATCATCTGCTAACTCATAACAATATATTCACTGTAACGTGGTATAACTGTGGTACTTTGCATATCCTCCAAGAACATTTTTTTTTTCCATAAGACGAAACGAACATATTTTAGAACGATTTCTGTAAAAAGACGAGACAGAGTAGGATCTAGTTGTTCCAGTGCTGTCACATGCACAGTTCAGCGAGAACGGGAACCAAAACTCCTAAATCCTGTCCCTAGTTCTGTGCTAACAACCTCCGACAAGCAAAGCCTCCGTGTTCTTCAGTTCTCTCTACCTATAATATACCCTACTAAGGGCAAAACTTAATAGTTGAAATCTCTGCACTTAAAGACTCAAACTTGTTTTGTTTTTTGTTTTTTTAAACCAAAACAGCAAAAGGTGAAAAACACTGCGAGAACTGAGGTCACCTAGATTAATTTCAAATTTCAAACAGCAAGAGGAACATTGCCTGCTTATGGAGCAAACACAACGAGTAAATCCTCCACCCCTTGTCAGAGAAACCCTTGTTTCGAGACGTCCCTCCCAGCAGACAAGGGAGCGCTGCCGCGGAAAGCGGCTCACGCTCGCTGCCGCCCGCAGCGCAAGGCCCGCACCCCAGCTACGCGCAGTCCTTCGCGGAAGGCTGGAACGGAGGCTGATGCAACACAGTGGAAACTAACGCCATAGTGGCCCAGTTCTCATTCCTCTACCGTTTTAAGCTCTGTCATCTTTTCCATAACATCATCCCACCCACAGTTACTATTTGAAAGGATGAGCTAAACCTAACGACATTACCAAAGAAAAAAGAAAGAAAATAAAAAAGAAAAGGCGTGCGTTCCTTTCTTAAGCGAGAGCCTGCTTTCACCAACAAACACAACGTGCCAACCTGCTCTCCTGTTTATTTACTTCCCTTTTGATGGGTCAATAGTTTTCCAGCTTAAAACTTGGCTGTTTTGAAATTGAAGTTAAACTGATTACATTTTTAAAAAAATCAGACCCAGCTTCATTTTAAAGTGTGCTTATACAGTATTGAGCAAACAGAATTTTTGCCAACATATTACTTTTGCAGACATAGACATTTGTTATCTCTGCTTATATAAGACACAGCAAGAATTAATCTAGAGCCAGGACAAAACCAGAAGAATTTAGATAATTTGCTCTCTCACCAAAACCCACCTTCCACAAGCAATCTAAACAAAACAAACAAAACAAAAAAACAACACTATGCCAAAGACGTGGGATAAAGATGCTAAAAATATGTATGTATCACAGGCTGTAGACCACATCGTCCTGTACACATACATCAGAAAAAGAGACTTATCTGTGGCCACAGAAAATTTACAAGTATTACGTGCATAAATCCATGATGCTCCTAAAGCACAACTCTCACTCTCCCTGTTTTCAACTACCAGTCTACCAACGCAAAAAGACAAGAAAGGTGGTACGACATTAAGTCCAAATATACGGGCTCAGAAAAATGACTTCCTATCCCCTTCATAAAATTGAGGGCAAAAAGGAGGAGAACCCCACAAAAATGAAAAACCGGTTTATTCTGGGGAACAACCAATGGAAGAAAAAGAAAACAGAAAAAAGGAGATAGCGGAAGTTCAGAGATTCAGAGAAGTACAATGAGTGAACTGGGGGAGAACCCCAACGAGAGCATTCCCCTACTGATTACTGTGTTTTCTCCACATTTTTCTCCTCCTTACTTCAAAGGATCTGAAAGGGCTGAGTAAGCTAGCTACCTCTCGGTATTTCATAAAAGAGTCAGGTCTTACATAAAAGATTAAATATGCAAGTGCAGCAAGTTACCTCCCAATTACTTACATAATAGATATTATTGAGTTTTCTTAGTACCTCTTGCAAGTTTACGCCAGTTTGAAAACACATGCTAATTCTCTGCCTAGCAATTCTACATGCTTATCTTTTTTATTCAGAAATGTAACTCCACTTAATGGAGCATAATGGGTAAATATGCAGTCAAGTGACATGCAGAACCCCACGTTACTGCGAACACGATGCTTTTAATGCTGCACCCTGGCTGCATCTGGAAATCAGAAGTTTTCAGTGCACTCAGATGTTTTCCTGTTACTTCATTCAGTGGGAATATCAGATTTGTAAATCTGAATTGTGAACAACATACGAAAACAAGGCTGATTTCAACTGTAAAAATGTCTATATTTCCAATCTTGGGTTGCCACCCAAGGCTGCATCAGCCATCTAAATCACAGAAATTCACCCCAGAGAGAAACTTGTGGCTGTAACGGGGAGGCTACTCCACTTGTACAAGCAGGAGAACTGTTATCATTAAAGCAGCAGGGAACCAAACGCTGCTAGCCCAAATTCCAAACCTCTGCAAGAGCAGCATACGCTGATAGAAACCTCGGGCAACAGAGGAAAATTTTCCCTCATGACTAAACACAAAGAATCTGCAAAGCAACTTCGCCCTGAAACTACACAAAGATACTGGTATTTCCTCCAGGAAGATATGTTTCTTTATAAAATGTGTCAGGTGGGTTTTTGGCAGTAGTATAAGTTGCTTATTCCAACTTCCAATTTTCAAAACCTCAATTTCAAGAGACATCAATCTGCCAACAGGGCAGGAAGATAAACAAGTTGTGACATTAAGTCCAAATAAGCTTACAGAAAGGCACAGGATTTGGCACTGAATTTCTTAAGGAGCATGCAGATGACAGGCAAACAGATATACAGCTTTTGTTGGTTTGGGGGAATTCTTTTTTTTCCAACTACAGAAATCAAAAGTGCATTTAACGGTAAAGTGAAATGTTAAAAGTTAAAAGTGCAGTGAACGGTATTATGGAAAAAGGTTATTGTTTTTCCCTTCTCGAGTGATTTGGATAATTATAGCATGCAAAAAGTGCTGAACACTGAAAGGAACCATTAAGTAATTAGACTCTGCAGGTGTGTCATTTGTTTGGAAAGCCCAGACATGACAAACAAAAATTGAAGCATGCATCTATTTGACCATTATTTCTTTCAGGAGGATCCTATAGGTATACAAATGTACACGTTCCAAAACTTTAGCTTTGTCGAGACTTGTATTTGTATTGCTCCATTAACCTTATTACGTTTTCACAAGATCAATAAGAAAATCATCACTGAAAGCTGACTGGCACAATACAAAGAACAGCTTTCCAGAAGTGTAGGGACAGTGGAAAATTCCTCTGGAGAAAAATATAAAGTTCTACACGTCAGTCATTGTTGCAGACATACTTTTTGTTCAAGGGGTACACTGTGCTACTATTTCTTTTCATTAGTACTGAAGACCGAGCTAGTCTTTGTAAGCGGAAGCCTTCATCTAGGGCACCTATGAATGAGAAGGGAAAATCCTGTCTTTTGTTAAAAGGGATTGAGAGTTTATCATTCTTCTCAAGAAGATCAAGAGCTTTTCACAACCTCTTTAGAGGAGCCCAAAATTGGCCGTCATCAGTTCTTGAATGACTGAAAATCATCATCACTGCTTCTGATCAATTTCATTATCTGATCTGTGAACAGGAATTCCCCTGTTAATGCAGCTAATACAACTTCTCTAGACCTCCCCAAAGAAAAAAAATGGGGGAAAAAAAAAAAAAAAAGGTCAATACTCATACCATAAAGATGCTAAGCAAAAAGGTGAGTGGAAGACCCTTCTTTTAGTTTAAGATCGCTTTCACTTGTACTCACAAGATTTTTTTTGTTTTGCCTTAAGAACAAGGCCTGATTGCAGAGCTATTAAAACTGCTTGACTAAGCTGCCTAAGCAACTGGAAGGAGCAGAGGGAAAGAAAATTCGATCGTTAATTTCAGTGCTAAAATTCTACATAGAGCCTACCTGACCACAGTCTTCAAGGCTAGTGGATATAAGATCACTTTTTTGGAAAGTGAGGCACAAACTATTTCTTGAACTACTTCTCAATTGTTCCCAACTGTATACCCTCCAAACCAAGCCACTGGATCTCACTCGGGCATTCACACCAGAAAGCGTTGCCAGCACCTACCTCATAGCAATGTAATTCAGCAGACTAGAGAGTCTCGGCTAGGAGAACACCACTATGTAGTAGCAGAGGTTCTGCTAACACAGTCAGGCCCTTAACACTCGAGTTGTCCTTAAAAATACATAAATAAAAATCAGCCATTTGATCCTCCTCCACTTCCAAAGGGTAACACTGAAATATAAAATGGGTATTTAAAACTAAACTGACCTCAGTTCAGTCCATCACCAGTTTCATCAAGAAAATAGTAAAATCAAGCAGAGAAACAAGATTTCTTCCTCTCCAGACCCTCTGCAATTTTAAATAGGTGATAACCTCTTCATAAAGCTGTACTAATTATACTAGAAAGGCATACATTATTTTAGTTTCTGTAATTTCGTTCTTCTTGTGGTATAACTATGAAGACAAAAGGACATTATTTTTAGAAAGTCTCACAAAAGTAATTCTGCTGAACTGTCTTTGGTTTTTGTTAATCTAAATGCATCTTATTTTCTTCTAAAAAAACCAAAAAAACAAAAAAGAAAGTACAGGTGCTATTCCTTTCAAAACATTTATACAGTTAAGTCTCCTCAAAAACTGGCTGCCATTAAGCAGAAATTATTTCTGG